AGACTACATTCATTCTGAGTCAGAAACCTATGCTTTGTCTAATAGTTAATCATAATCAAAATTCAGAGCTGTATAAAGCTTGAATTTTGTGTCCATACTTGCCCCAACTGTTCAGGGTTCGATCCACACCCTACACTTCCCCTTACAGTAAACAAATAGTTTTGACTCGAAAAACATCAATTTTTTACGCCTCGCTCCGCTCACCTCATTTTTAAGACCTAAATCCTAAGTTCCAACATGTTCTTCAGCAGAGTATTTTTCATCTAAAGCGAAAATTGCATGAAGGTGTGGTAAATATCAATGAGACCATAACCGGCATATCCAAATTAAGTTCCCTGAAGTCGCAAACAACTTTCACACTTGATCCACTACTGACGCAATATTTTATACTTATAATAGCAATAGAAATTTAATACACTTTTTTGGTTATTACGAACAAAAGTATTGAGAAATATATGTGTATGTGTGTATGTGAATGCATCAAGATAATAGGCAATAAAACAACAAAACTCCAAAACTCATAAGAGCTTAAATTGCCCAAATGGGACCTTTACTATAGAGCATATTCAATTTGTTTTCATTGCACTATTTGTTTTTCTAATCTATTGTTGTTTTCAAGATAACCGTAAAATATTAAAAGCCGCCGCTGCAAACTGAATCTCCCCGAACTGAACCTTTATCGAAAAAAAAATATTCAAGGGTTCACAATTTTAGAATGCTTAGAGGGTCAGATATTTACAAAACGTTATTTTTTACTTGATTAAAGGTGTTAGAATTAAGAATAAGATACTCGAGTCTTTATCCAAAACCAATATGAAAGGTAGGGCTAACTATTTGGACAATGCTCTAGATCGTGTATTGCTCACCATTTCAACTGTTTACAACTTCTACACAAAACTGTTATTCAAAGCCACTAACTCCTACAAGGATTCATCGCCGGAATAAATTTGGTGGAAATAGAATGTTCATGTAGGTATAGATCTTGACATTCTGCGCAATTTTTCAATAAAAAGTGGTTTAATAATACTATTTCCCTTTGTTTTGCAATGGAAACTATGTGCCACTGTGACCAGTATCGGCAACCTATCAATAGTAAATGTTTATCGTTGACAGGGGTCTACTCATCATTAATCATATAGTTTCGAAACATATAGCTTTGCAGTTTCAGTGAAGAGGATTTTTAAAAATTGACCTGGTGGTATTATTTTTTACCAATAGGAACTAAATGATGGTCTTTTGTATAGGACTTTCAATACATTTTTCTTGCAAAGATTTATTAAAACTGGCTCAGTGGTTTCAGTGAAGAAGGTGAACAGGTGAAAGTTTACGGATGACGTATGCTTAATGACGAAGATAGCTCACATGGCCTAACAGGCCTGTATGACATTAACAGTTATTGTTGGGAAACTGGACTTTATTTAAAAAGAAAGATATTTTTTACATCCTCAATCCTCAAATTTTAATAATTATGGAGCCTTGTTGGTCTTGAGATGTAAAGTCGAGCGCTGTAGATGTAAAGGAAATTTATATCTACATCGCTGGACTTTAAATCTATAGCGCTTGATTTTACTTCTGCAGCGCTTCACTTTAGAAAAAAAAACCACACAACTCTCTATCTGTATTAGACCAACAGGACTCAGTAAACAATAAATTAATGCAGTTTTGTTTATGTTAATTTAGACATCAATCTGATTAAAATACAGATCTTGTATGTCCAAGCTTTGCTTACAAGGATCTGAAAACGCTCCATTATATTTTCTGTTTTAAAGACCATTTTGGATTCTCTGGTTTTGTCGGATTGATACACACCTTCAAAAAAGGTTGAAATTTCATTGGCTGATGTAATAAATATCAGAACAGAAAGTACAATTGAGTAGTGTCAGATCCTTGTAACCAACGCTTAGACACATGATCTGATCTCATTTTCAATGGAAACAAACTTTTTGTTCGCTTCCCTTCTGCAGTCTTTTTCAAGAAATTTGGAATCAAACATTAAAAATGCGCCCTCTTAGTTGAATGGTCGGTACCTCAGCCCTGTTTACAGTTCGATTCCTTGAGTCTGGAGGTTTATATATATTAATGGCTTTATACGAAACCTTTTATATTGCGGGTTACTTTCTAGCTTAAACACCGCCTTGGTGGTTTCGTGGTAGCGTGTTCGCCTCGAGTGCAGGAGGTCGTGGGTTCGATCCCCGGCCGGATCAAACCAAAGACTTTAAAATTGGTATTTGCTGCTTACCCGATAAGCACGCGGCAATACGGAGTAAGAGCAAAGACTGGTCGGCTCGAAATCTGCATAATGTGTCCATGTAAGGTGACATGTTTTCCTGTGGACTAGCACGTTAAAAATCCGGCTCAGCGAGTCGGTCTAGTACAAATCAGGGTACATATTCATATTACATTAAAATGTTCTTGTCCTGAATATGCATATTAATTTGCCGCTGGACGTCAAGCATCCACCAATTATCATCTTGTTGAAGCTGTAAAATAAATACGCTCAAATGTAATGCATTGAGTTGAAGTTCCAATTTAATCTTTCAACCATACCAGGGGGCCTCGTAGGTCGAGTGGTCTAAGTAGTCGAACTACTGTATCACTAGCCTGTCAACACTTAGGTAGTGAGTTCGAATCACGCATGTGGCAGGTAAGCTCCACTCCAATCTTAATTGACTAGAATTGTCAGTTTTCCTACCGAAGGTCGGTGGTTCTCTCCGTGCACGACGACTTCCTCCACCAATATAAACTGACATCCACGAAATAGCACGATAAGGTTGACAGTAGCGTTATACATCAATCAATCAACCAAGTAATGAATGAATGAATCAATCAATCAATCATTCATACAGGTACAATTATGCATGAGTAGATAATTTTATAGCTTTTGTTATGAAATACATTAAAAGTTACTATGACTTAATTGGTGTCTTTTGCAATAAACGTTGTTTTATCATATTTTCGCCGCAGCCAGGAAATTCTTCAACTAGCGCCTGTATTAATTGATCCAAATCTTCACTCCAAAATGTTTGAAACGTTGATTTTTGTTAAAATTTCATTGTCACATGTTTTCTATAAAAATACACTTCTGGAAGCTGATACGAGGCTGAAGTTGCTAGATCAGAAACAAATAAACTGGCATTAAAAAAAACCCCGCAGAATATCCTCTGGTATGTCAAATATTTGCACTTAAGGTGCTCAATACACAGTCGAGAACCCATAATTTAATAACTTTAACCATATGCTCATTATCGTAGACCCATCGATTAAACCTTAACTTCGCAATTCATAATTTGACAATTTTCCAACAATTATATAAGATAAGATTTTTTTCATCTTTGAAACGAGGTATTAACGTGCCAATGTTTATCTTTTTTAAAATCTCAATCATTTTCCAAACGATAGCTACAGATTTGAGCCAGCTTTTTATTTAATTTCTAGAGAAGCAGATTGAAATCAGTTATGACGTAGACAGTAATCGTTCTAATCGTAATAATTTTTATTGACCATAACAACGATGAAAACACATCATATAAGGACGTTTTGACATCATATAATGAAGTAAACCGAACCACATCATATAATGTTACAAGCACATAATATAATGACACAACCGCATCATATAAAGATGTTTGCGCATAATATAAGGGAAAATGCACATCATATAAGTATATTTCCACATCATATAAAGGTGTTTGCACATCATATAATGACAAGTGCACATCATATAAAGGTAAATGCACATCATGTAATGAAAATAGGCATAACAAGACAGTTTGAGCGTTCCATACAATTTGGTTTCAAGTTTATAAGACGTATCTTTCTGGCACATTATATTTTTATGCTTTTAACTCACGTCTCTCTATTAGGCTTAAATGGCTTTAAGAATAAAGCTAAGGGCATTTACAGATTTGCTTGGTTTACTGTTCCCTAGTAAAACCATAAGCACACTGGAAGATAGATATGAAAAATGACAATGAATTGATGACAAATTGCATGGTTTATACTTAAAAATTGACCCAAATTCAATTAAAACAGCGGACAACGAATTGCACAATTAAGTTCTCTTTTTAACTTAACTAAAGACTGATCAAACCATTTAGAATGTTTAACTGGAATCTTTTTATTTGTATTTGTTTAACTGTCATCCCTGTTGTACTGCCTTGGAAAAATGTTGATAACATTTTGCACATATTTATATATTTCATAGTTAGTCATTGTCATCATTGACACTTTGAAATGGTCTGACATGTCAGGTCAAACGTTATGTACTTATTGAAAAGAAGTTGTTTGCAGTAATCTTAAAAAAGTTATAAAATTATCAACGGCACAACTATGTCGTCTTGTGATCTGGTCCAGAGAGTCATCAAGCTTGTACAATCGTTTAGTATTATTAAACATGACTCTACACAGAGGTCATTCATCTGATTACTTCGAAATGATACTATATTATCCATATGAATGAAACCAGGGTTTTCCAGATTGAAACAAAATTAGTAATGTACTGCTTAATACGAATAAAATTAAGATCTAGGTTTGATTTCCCTACAAATTCAATCAAAGGCATCCACAACAAATGCATAAAACATATATCTCGGGGCTCCTTTGAAAAAAAGAAGAAAACCTATACAGAAAAAATCAAGGATAATGTGGTTGATGTTTAAATCCTTGCATATTTCTAGATCAAAAGTTACGAATTAGCAGTTTGATACAGCTTTCTCAGTGAGACACATTAAGTAATTCCGTTGGCATTCGTATTTTTCGTACAATAAGTAAGATTTTTCATTTAATATCCATGATATATGTAAGTGATAACTCCAAGATTGTCACTCTTTTCAAATTGATGATTCATTTGTCTTTGAGACCGAATAAAATTCATCAACGTAAATACATGAAAATGTATATCGAATAACCCCAAACTGTGACAATTTTAATATTTTTTCACATTTGACAATTTGAATTGGTTTTGATGCTTGCTACTTTATGGTTTCCTTTTTATTTGTAAGCAAACCCCATGCGTTGATTTGGATAGCGAAGACGAAGGCAAACTGGATTTTGGGGAAAACAAAGCTATGATAGGCCAAAATGGTGTTCACGATGCAGACGAATTAATACGAGTTCATGAAGATCATGAGGTAAAATATATTTGTACTCCAATTAATTACATAAACAATCCATTTAGAAAAGATAATTTACAACCAGTATGGTTAAAGGTATACTTATAATGTAACATATTACTCATAAACCGATTACTTATTTCTTTACTGTATTCTATTTTATTAGAACACACATGCTTTTTGTTTTGTATTTTTTGTTTGTTTGTTTGAATCAATCAGTGTTGTTTTACTTAGTTTGTTCACGAAACATTTATTTTCGTGACTGTAACATCAGTATACTAATGCTGTGTATGCATTCAGCAATTCAGCTATTTTAATATATTCATTGCAATTATAATTGTTGCGTGAGCACATTTTGCTTTCAAGTTTATAAGACCTATCTTTCTGACGCATTCTGTGTTAATGCTTTAAAATCATGTCTCTTTATGATGATTAGTATGACATAAATTTAATATGCCTGGTATCGTTACATCAGAATTTATTTTCTCGATATTTTTGCATCTTAAAGAAGAAAAAAATCTCATTTGTTTGTACCAAAGTTTTTACAGTGTGTTCTGCACTTTTCTAATGAAGCGATTATTTTTTTCGGTGAGTAATTGATTTTTTTCTATTTAATATCATTATGTTAAGTTTAATAGTTTTAACAAAGATATTTCTACGGTTTGTCCATGCTTTCTTGATTATTCTTTAGTGATTAACTTTTGTAATAATGACTAGGTATTAGGCGAAATGCATTTACAGATTTGCTTGGTTTACTGTTCTCTAGTGAAACAATACGTACACTGATAGATAGATAAGAAAAATGACAATGACTTGATGACAAATGGCATGGTTTATACCTAAAAATTCATTTGAAACAGACAACAACGAATTGCACAATTCAACATCAAAATCAAGTTTTCTTTAAAACTTAACTAAAAGACTGATCAAACCACATATCATGTTTGACTGTAACCTTTTTATTTTCATTTGATTGTTTAACTTTTAACTTTTTTTTTTTCTATCGAAAAAATGTCTCAGCAATATTATCTATAATGTTCTGAAACTTTTTACCAACAGGTTGGTGTTAAAGTGACTGTCATTCTCTAAATCGATTACTTTTAGTATACTTCGTAAAATACTATCGCTTTGAAAGGTTTTAATACAATATTCTGCCGAACTGTCATCCCATTCGTACTGCCTTGGAAAAATGTTGATAACATTTTGTTCAGATTTATATATATCACAGTTCGTCATTAACATTCATTGACACTTCGCAATGGTCTGACATGTCAGGATAAACGTCAGAGAGGTCATTTATCTGATTACTCCGAAATGATACTATATTATCCAAATGAACGAAGCCGGGTATTTCCAGATTGAAACAAAATTAGCAATGTACAGCTAAATACAAATAAAATTAAGATCTATGTTTGATTTCTCTACAAATTTAAACAAAATGCATCCACAACAAATGCATGAAACATAAATCTCGGGGCTTCTTTGAAAAAAGAAGAAAACCTATACAGGCAAATCAAAGATAATATTTAAATTGATGTTTAAATCCTTGCATTTTCTCAGAAATATAGTTTGAATACAAGTAAACATGTTGTAAGGACCCGAATACGAGATCCAATCCCTTTTTTTTTCTTTTCTGTTTAATTTTTTAATCCAAATCTCACGCATTTAATAAAGGATGCAAGCTCACTCTTCATTTTTCGTTTGTTTTTTAAGACATGGTCCCATGTAACAATTCAAGGAACTGATACTTACCCGCTACTTTTTCTCAAGGAGAGGGGATGTACATTTATTGGTTCTCTGTGTAAAGAGTATGACCCAACCAACCAAGCCAATCAACGATCAAGGCATGTAAAATTTGTCAAACTTGACAGTTTTTAATCAATCAAGCATATATTTAGCAAACCAACATACTTATCAACAATTAAAAGCAAGTAAACAACCAATCAATATGCACTAGATGTCACTTGGTTGGTTGGTTGGTCCAACTCTCTGCAAATATGTTTTTCTTGATTGCACATCTCAATCGTCACAAAAAAAACCCAAAAAAAAAAAGTATTTCGCTCAATTGTTCGTTAAATCATGGATGCTTCGATCAAACTTGAGCAAGTGACATATTTAAAGCGTTATCCCTCCTTCCATATTTAAAAAAAAACAAATCGCGCGTTCCATTACTCATTAACTGTTAACCGTAAAAACCCTAAGGACTTCAGATTAATGGACGAAGACTAGAACACTTAGACCATGGTCCTCAATGTCATGTTTTTAATTTGACATATATCTCATATTCCTTCGTCTCTGAAACTTTTTAACTCGACAAATAAAATAACCAAAATGTTAGTCGCAACATGTTGTAAAAGGAAAAGTATGTCGAAATGGTAAATGGTAACTTGTAAACTGGCGAAGTGATAAGGACCAAGGTTATTTTGATTTGTGTGTAATTTAATACACCAAAAGTAAAATGAGTAAAGGTCATAGGTCAAGGTCATGTTCGAATTATTTACATTTGCTAGTTATCACTATGCCTTAGAAACTGTATACGATATCAAAACTATTAAATTGTAACCTGCATCATGTCTGAAGTGAAACATGTTGATCGAAACGGCACAGTGACACTAAATAGAAGTGTTTTCCACTGGAATGATTCAAATTTGCTGTACGATGACTAACTAACTAACCACACATAATAAAGTCTTTTAATTTCAGGTTATTACTTTTTACCATGAAATTGAGGTCAAGGTCAAAAGTCAAATTGACGTTATCGATTTTAATCTTTCCGATAACTGCATACTGGTATATGAGAAAAATTTGAAGTATTCTGAATTTGGAAAGAGCCATAGGACCTTTAAAAAAGTTTAATCAGAAGTGACCTTGTTTAAACCGGCAACACCCATTTTTTTCGCAGTAATTCCATGCAGATTACCTGAAAGAATATATCTTTAATATCAATGTGAAGTTACCTTTCATGTGGACTCGGAAGTGACGATTTGTGAACCGGAAATAGCAAAGGATCCTCATTTTTTCATGCAAAAGTACTTAGAAACCAACTTTTTGGGAGTTATTGTGACATAACATATCATATAAAACAGGAATAATTTACCTAGTCCGTACGTTGCTAATTATCTCTTTTATTCCAATATAAAACTATCTAAAGTTATGAACTTTTAAAAACTTATTACAATAACAATCTTCCAATGATGGAACTGTTTTCTTAAGCCGGAAAGTAATATTTCAACTAAATCGTCTAATCCAATGTTAATTTTGGTAAGGGGAAATACCTTCAATTGGTCTGTAAACAATTATATTTTAATTAGGTCTTTTAACTTTTCTGTGGAAAGACTATCAGAATTCAATCTGGTTATTATTTTTTCTTCGACCAAATGTGTTTCTTGCTCTCTATGTTCGTTTCTAATGGTGTCGTTTAGATGTTTGGTATATGAAATCGATAATATTTATAACGTTTTAGAAACTGACATCGCTTAACCGAATGTTTTCCCATTTAAGAGTTATCTTTCTGAAGAATGATTATCTTCTTACAACTACCGATTCGCAACCATAAAAAAAGGACAAGGTACGATGAGCATCAGAGAACGGCCCCCAATTTTCGTTCAAATTAAAAGTGACGTGCAAAAAATTATGATACTATATTTTAAAGTTTAAAACCTATATTTTTGTAAACATCAATAGATTTGTCAACTTCCGCTGATATTATTCATGCTTTGTTGCTGTAAACACCTCAAGATTCGCAAAAGGCCAGAAAAATGTCAGTTTCTAAACATGTTTCTGCATTTTAAACTATGAGCGTACCTACGGCCCACGATCATATTTATACCTGACATTCCATGAATATAAATCTTGATGCAGTTCAAATATCTTAGTGGGCCGTAGGTACGCTCATAGTTAAAAATAAAAAAAAAGTGAAAAAAATCGTCGTAATTTTCGTTGAATCATCGTAATGTTTAAACGAACTGCGGACCGGAGATGATTTCCGGTATTCACAAGATCCGATAACAGACTTTTCTTCGTGCTATTTATGACGTGAATTTTACATCTACGAAAAAAAAAGGAACACAGGATATTCCTAATTACTCGCCAAAATATAATACTAAAAATAAATTTAGGACAGCGTATATACATACTATTTATGTTATATGAATTTAAGGCGCAATTGCTACATAAGTAAGCCGCCTACCAAAACCAATAACAACAATATTCCTGCATTTATTATTGTTTGATTTTAAAGTGAGATTTTAGCAGATCGTCGAGTTTTGACACAAAATAGGAAAGATAACTTCCTTGACCTTTTTTGCAAAAACCAACCAGCATTAATACCAAAATAAAATCCATACCAGGTATATCTGATCATAGTATTGTATTGGTAGATGCAATCTGCAAGCCCCAAAGATCTAAACAATCGCAACATAAAATGTATTTATGGAAAAAAAGTTGATCTACAAAAGAAAAGAAGTAACATCTAAATTTATATCTGAACTCTCTGAAGTAACAAAATAAAAGATGATAATGTTCCAAGCAAAAGGACTAAATCTAAATACACAAACTCTTGGACTAGTATGGATATAGATAATTTATGTAAAAAACAACGCAAAGCCTATAACAAATAAAAAAAAAAAACAAAAAAACTGGCAAACAAGATCATAAAGATCAACATAAAAAAAATTAAGTTACCGCACAGAGGGAGATAAGAAGAGCTCAAAGTACTTATATACAAGACACATTTAGCCCCCAGTTAGAAGAAAAACCTAAATCTTTCTGGAAATTCATAAAAAGTAAAAAAAAACAGAAACATTTGGAAGTTCGCCACTAAGAGGAAAGAATGGTCTATTATACAGTGACCCTAATACACAAGCAAACATCCTTAGTGAACAATTTAAGAATGCTTTCACTACAGAAGCTACATCCTTCATGCCAAATAAAGGTATAAGTCCCCATCCCACCATGCCAGACATATATATAAACAATAACGGGTTATTAAAGCTACTTGAAAACTTATATCCCCATAA